ATATATATATTTGCACCTTTCCTTTGATATTCTTTGTGGATGATGAGTGCAGACCTGAGACCCAAAGAGTAGAGTCTCATCCTTGCCTTGCTAGGTAACTTCTGTTCCTTCAGTTGAAAAATAATCTCCATGAATACTTCCAGTGTTAACCTTCCAAGGTACAGACACTGTGCCTTATTTATATTTCTATCTCTAGTGCCAGGAACATGGAAGGTGCACAGTGTATGTATGTTGGACTTAGGAGTGTAAGACACATATTACTGGGGAAAGTTCTAGAAGTTCTCAGCAGATAACCAGCTTATCTCAGCCTGCCATTCTCTCTGCTACCCTGAAGGAGTCTAACAGATAAATAGTTATGTGCCCCAAGATCAGGTTTACCCCAGCAAACAGACAGATAGTGTAAATTTCCTATTGTACAAGGGGTAAGGAAAGTCAAGAAGTGAAGACGGAGTGTCTGTTCTAACCTAGGAGAAAGGAAGGAAAGAAGGGAGGGAGAGAGGGTGGGTTGAAGGGAGGGAGGAAGGAAGGAAGGAAGATAATTTTATTCATATATCCCTGTATATCCAGATGTATGGACTATTTAGACTTGTCTGGCCGATGTGGTAGCCACCAACCACATATGGCTATTGAGTACTTGAGTCATTTGTTGTTGTTAGGAGCCGTCGAGTTAGTTCCAACTCATAATGACCCTGGGTACAACAGAACAAAACATTGCCCAGTCCTGCGCCATCCTCACAATAGTTTTTATGCTTGAGACCATTTTTGCAGCCATTGTGTCAGCCCATCTCATTGAGGGTCTTCCTCTTTTTCGCTGAACCTCTACTTTCCCAAGCATGATGTCCTTCTCCAGGGACTGATCCCTCCGGATAACATGTTCAAAGTATGTGAGACATAATCTTACCATCCTTGCTTCTAATGAGCCTTCTGGTTGTACTTCTTCCAAGACAGATTTTTTCATTCTTTTGGCAGTCCATGGTATATTCAATAATCTTTGCCAACACCACAATTCAAAGGCATCAATTCTTCTTCAGTCTTTCTTATTCATCGTCCAGCTTGCACATGCATATGAGGCAATTGAAAACACCCTGGCTTGGGTCAGGCTCACCTTAGTCCTTAAAGTGGCATCTTTGCTTTTTAACACTTGAAAGAGATCTTTTGCAGCAGATTTGCCTGTTGCAATGCATCTTTTTATTTCCTGACTGCTGTTGCCATGGGTGTTGATTGTGCATCCAAGTAAAACGAAATCCTTGGCAACTTCAGTCTTTTCTCCATTTATCATCATGTTGCTTATTGGTCCAGTTATGAGGATTTTTGAATTATGATTAATCCAAATTGGAATGTGTTTTTGGTGTAAAATGCTCACCAGATATCAAAGACTTAAGTATGATTAAAGAAAGGAAAATATTTCATTAATAATTTCATAATGACTACATGTTGAAATAATAATATGTTTAGTATATTGGGTTAAATAAAATGTATTATTAAAGTTATTTTCACCTGTTTCCTTTTACTTTTTTTTTTAAACATGGCTTACAGAAAATTTTAAATTACACCTCTGGCTATATTCTATTTCTATTGGACAGTGCAGCTCTAAACAGAAGTAAAAGTGCATATAGCATTTATGAAATGGTTTGAGGCCTTTGGGGGAAGTTCTTTGAACTGCACATCATCTCTGAAGTGTCACTATGTTTAGGTTTTCCTGCAGCA